AATGCTTTCTCATAGTCCCACATATAGCGGGCTAACCCTGGCTTCTTAGAATCATAGAATCTTAGCCTTAGAAGAGGCCCAAGGGTCATCTAGTCCAACCCCCTGCAATGTAGGAATCTCAGCTAAAGCATCCGTGACAGATGGCCACATGACCTGGAAAGCTGTCCCTTGGCCTGAAAGCGAGATGAGCGCCACACCCCATAGTCACCTCTGACTGGCCTTAACCGTCCAGGGGTCCTTTACTTTTACCTTTTTTACCTTCCCCAGATAAGGAAATGTATTCTAGAACTCTCTGGAATAGAAGTAAATGGTCATCAGCCCTCCCAGAATTTCCCTTGAAACATTAACATTGCCAATTGATTAGGGGGGAAATGCCTGGCTGTTGGGTTTTGTTTTTTGCTTTGGGGTCAATTCCCAGAAATGAATGGAGCAAGCTTGTTTTTCTCAACACTTCTTCAACCTGGCTAAGCGCACGAGGCTTCATCAGATGGATGTGCTTTGGGACCTGCCTTGTGACTCAGAAGCCTCCTTCCTACTGCAACCAAACCATCTCCCAGTGCTGTTGTTTTTCATTTCACAAAGTGGCAACCTTATGATCCATGTAGTCCTCTGCTGCTGCCATGTGGTGACTCATCCATGTGTTGGTGGTTCTGGGAAAAGGGAGGGTGTAACTTTCCTGGGAAGGACAACTGAATGCAGCCTGTGGGCTTACACCACCTTCTCTAGGTTTAGGGGACTTTCTGTCTGAACTTGATGGCTTACTTAGGATGCTGCCCACCTCTGAATCCAGGATCACCATGATCACTCACACAGGTCCCTTGGCTTCCAGAGGGCCTGAGGCAGATGAAAGAAGAGACTCCTCAATAGGTAGCCTTAACAAACCACCAGTCTCTACCTTGCCTGCCCCAATTCATATTACATAATCATGATATTGACCTGCCTTTAACATTTGAAATGTGCTACACACTGTCTGCAGCCAGTGTTTACTTTTCTTTGAACAAGAGCACACTGCAGACTTAGACAGATCCCAGCAAGAAATGACAAAGACAGCCTATCTTGAGACACAATGGAGTGCACCTTGGCGGCAGGGGTGTGTGTGTGTGTGTGTGTGTGTGTGTGTGTAGTCAAAGTGCTGCAGTAGCAGCACTGAAGGGACCAGCCCCAGGGTGCAAGCCTGAAGGTCCTCACTGATGTGATCCAAAGGAAAGCAGAGCAACACGTTTGGCACCAGCTTGGCTTCAAGAGTTGCCAGAAGGAGGCTTACACGGCACCATCCAACTGTCTTAAGGACTCTTTATAATGTTAGCCTAGATATATAGCTAGATACAGATAAATAAAGCAGAGCCTATAAGAAGCATGCAGACTCTTAAAAACAGGCAGCAGATTCTCTGAGGGCAACTTGTGCAGCTTTCACAAAACCATATCCCCGGTTTCAGCTACAGACTCTCAGCTGTCTTTCTTCCAGGTCTGAGGCAAGCTGCCTGTTTCACTAATTCACCCCCTCCCACCTGAGACCCCACCCACACTCATCTGAGAAAACACCCACAGTCGCTAGGAAAGAATACATTTTTGTCAAGGTTCCAATTGCTTATTCCCAGTGGTCAGGGCAGCCAAATTCACAACAGTATTATTAATAAGGTTTGCTAGTTTTTAATAAGCTTTTGCCTTGTCAGTTCAGTTTTCGTGAGTTATTTTAAAAAGATATCTTCTTAAGATATAGAATAGTAGAGTTGAAAGGGATCCTGAGGGTCTTCTGATCCAACTCCTCGCAGTGCAGGAATCTTTTGTGGGTCTCAAACCCACAACCCAGAGATCAAGAGCCTCATGCTCTACCAGCTAAGCTATCCCGGCCATATAGCAAACTTTAAATAAATGACCGCAGATCCAAAAGGGGCAGGCAATAAGAACTTGCCTCTAATCAGTGTCCTCTGTACGTGCCCTCCCTCTTGCTGTTCCAGAGCGATTATTCAAGTGACACCGACAGTGAAGACCATTTCATTATGATGCCACCCAGGGACCACCTCGGACTCAGCGTGTTCTCCATGCTCTGCTGTTTCTGGCCACTGGGAATTGCTGCCTTCTATTTGTCACACGAGGTAATGTAGAATTCTGTTATCTCCATTAGCAGTGTGTGCAGGCATGCGCTGCCCTCTTTATGCTGAGGGCATGATGAAACCATCCAGGGACTGGGCAGACAGAGCTGAGTACCTAGGTGGCAGGATGACCTTGCGCCTCCATTTTTATTTCTGTGTAGCAACTATTCCCCTCCCTGGTTTGATATTTTAAGCTTGCCTTATTGAGTGTACTCAGGAGTTCTTTCCGTTTCATGAAATAGAGGAGATAAATTCTCAGCGCAGGTGCTTGGATGGCTTTACTTTAGGCTAAATATGCACAAGATTGTATTTAAGATAAGCTCATCATGCAAGAGGTTGGTTGTCAGAAGTAATAATTTAGAATTCTAAAGCTTAGCTTATTAAAATTTGATATATCACTGAAAGTTTCAACCCTTCAAAAGAAGAGAATTGGGACTGAAAGACCAAGGGGAAATGTGGATGCATGAAGCATAAGTTGAAAGCAAACACAATATTCAGGATGTGGTTATTGCTTACATGGGGCAGAAGTTAATGGGGGCACTTTAATGTATAATGTCTATACTTGGTGCATTTGAATTTGTAAGTACCTTAATTTTTCTTTCAAACTGAAGGGCTTTTGATCCTAGAATGCATTCCAGACCATTTTTGATGAGAGATCAAAGAAGCATTGAGGCTCTTTAGTGCATTTTCCCCATCTGCCAACATTGTGAATGCAGGATAGGACTGAGAATCCACCTGGTTCCTTCCCCCGCTGTTTTTAAATGCCTGTGCAAGACTGTGATCTAGTCCCCACTTACCTGGGAAGGAGCCACATTGAACTCAATGGAGCTTACTTCTCAGTACACACGTATAGATTGCACTATGAAACTCAAATCTTTGTTCTCTCACCTGACACCTTTACTATTTCCCACCTCTCTCCATCCATTGAGTGTCTCTCATCTTACACTGACTAGTGTTTTATATAGAGCACCTACTTTGTTTCTGCACTCTAGAAATAAAATTAAAGGGTGGAAGGAAGTCATTCAAATGTGCATTCTTGCTACTGTGAATTTGACAGTCACTTTATAGACTGATTTAAGCAACTGGCTTCCTTCTGTTGCAAAATCCCTAAAAATATACCCATTTTCACAAGCACATGGCACATATGATCATATAAATGTCACCAGCCCCTATGAACTGCTGTCAGGCTTGCCATTCTGCCACTTGTACAGTGCTATTACAAATACATTACTACAGAGAAAACTAAAATAGTGGAGACATCCTAGGCTAATGAGTGAGGATGCTCTTAATGAGTGAGGATGCTCTAGGCAATAGACATTTAAAGATGACCGGTGCTGAAGGATCCAAGACCTTTACAAGGAAGTCAGCACTGTTATCTTTCATTCTGTCTGCTCTTGAACAAGCTGGCTTGCCCTGTGCTATTGCTGATCGGAATCCCCCAACTTAGAATTCCGTTTGTGTTTTGTGCCTGCTTTTTATTTATTAAAGCTCTTGGCCTGCTACTGAAAACATTTCAGCCTGAAGACTGTGTTAAATTGGCTCATCAGTCATCTTGATGCCAACCACAGTCTGGCCAAGTATTTTTTTTTTTTTCCTCCAGAAAGGAAAGTGCTGGAACTCATAGCCGCTGCAGAGGTGTCCTGCAGGACAGCAAAGGAGGGTTGATTTTGGGGGATGGCAATGTCGTTCCTCAAGGTCACGTGAGATAGATGTCTCTGGGGTCAGATTTTCTTCTTCATCATCATTTAATTTGTATGCTGTCTTTCCGTAGTTAAAACCATGCTCAAGACGGCTTACAACATGAAACGATTTACATAATTACAAACGTGCCAAAAGCAATTCCCCAGCCCAAGTGTCTGTTCAGCAGGCTCAGCTTTTGTAGCTGGAGTCAGTCAGGGTCCCGCCCTCCCAGGCCAGGTGGAAAAGCCTGCAAGACAGGGGGCAGGTTTTCTAGGACTCACAGGCAAGATTTTGCCATTAACCATGGCAGAATGACCTACTCTAGTTGCAGCATGCTACAACATGTTTAAAATATTGATTTCTTCATTTTGGATTTTAAAAAATAGGAGTTGTCTTATACATGGGGGCATCCTTTACACGGAAAAATACGGTGTGTGTGGGTGTGCATACCACTGAAGATTTGAAAGCTTAAACCTATGGCATTCTGCATGCAAAGGAGGTGTTCTTTTATGACCTAGCATGGCACATAGAAAAGTGTTCCACCTGGCCTTTATTAGCCGAGCAATAATTTAACACACCATGTTTATTTAGACATGCTTGTCTCAACATTATAATAGTTTAAGTGTTATCATTTAGATGCTCAGTTATAATATCGCAAATTAACTCATCAGTAATTTTAAAACAGAACAGCTGCAGTGTAATTGCCTTTCACCATTTATGTTCATAAAAAATGCAGTTGGCAGGAGTTGAAGAACCCCCTAAAAAGAAAACAGACCCCCTAAATCCAGCATCCAGGGAATGCAGGATAAAGCACATTATTGTAAAAGAGATGTCAAAATTATTTGACATTTAAGAAGTGGGGCTGCAGCTTAATGTGGTTCATCTGTTTATGCCAAAAATGGATACCAGGTGGCAAAGACAACTAAATTACTAACTCAGAAAGTCCTATTCAATGCACCAGTTTGTCTGTGACGGGGCAGTCCTTTATCCTCCTGTGCTTGATGGAATGGATCTGACTTTGTAGTGTTTGGCTATTTCTACCTTAGCAATAGCTTTAAAAGCCCAAACTATACAGTATACTAAAAAACAACAAAAAACTAAAGAATTAATTTTCCTCTTTCAAGTTGAAGAGTGCACCATATCCAGGTTTACTAAAGTGAGCTTTTCATCCCCCTACAGACAAACAAAGCCATTGCTAAAGGGGACTTCCACCATGCAAGCTCCAGTTCACGACGAGCCCTCTTCCTGGCTGTGCTGTCCATCACTATTGGAACAGGCATCTATGTGGGGGTTGCCGTGGCGCTCATAGCGTACCTGTCCAAAAACAATCACATATGAAACTCAAAGAAGTGGACTGCAGTAGAAAGCCACAGGAGGCCATGACATTTCAAATATCACTTGTTTTGATGGGAAGAAGGGCTGCTGTAATTTTGTACGATTTGAATTCTGAAGAAGAATGTTCAGGATCTATACACCCCCTCCAGTTCACTTTGAATGTTGGCAGTACAGTCATCACAAGAAGCCAAGAAATGCAGGTTCTTTCCTGAGAGCCAGATATACGTCTTCAGAACTCGTTGCTGTCCTGAGCTGGAACGAACCCAAAGGGAGCTCTGTCGCATATATACCCTTGAACATGAGGTTCATCTGTCAAAAGGGGAGAGGCATCTGAATGTAGAGACCTAAAGCTCTACACAGCTGACTGTTTCCTGCATAAGAAAGGCAATTCCTCTCTCGGCTTTGGATGGTTGAGAAGATGAAACAGCTGGTTCAGTGCATATTCATGACCATGGCTCAAATGTTACCTGCAAAGTGAATGTCATATAGGAATAGCAGGAGCCCTATAGGAAAAAACAAACTCAAAATGATACGTTCTTCTCGTCCATCACATCCAGAGGTGAGGCAAAACGAGGTGGCTGCCTGAGGGCAGCAGATTTGGGGTGTTGAACTCATGGAACAAAGCTGTTGTGCAAGCTGCGTTGAAACCAAAATGAGGTGTGCAGAAGTACAGTCATGTTTTTGTGCAGCTCCTGTTCATTTCAGTGGAGCTTACATTGAGCTTCTTGGTGCATTGCTAACGAGAGGATTTGTCCCTCTCAGGTGCCAAAGTGTCTTGGGCTGGCCCTGATCCCACTCTGAAAACAACTGGCTTGCAAAGCATGCAGCTTTCTGGCAGCATCTCTCTTAACAAAGGGGGCCTCTCCTGCAACTGAATATAAGAAGCCTGTCCACAGATTTTGCGACAAGGCATGGAGTTCCACATCACAGCATGGACCAAGAGGTCTGGTTACAGGACCCTGGAGTGTCAGCCTGATGGCACAAACCTTCATTCTTGGTTTATGGACTTTCAGTCATGCTGTGATACATTCCCCATTCTCTAGTTGCGATGTTCGCCTAAAATAAACTCAAGTGGGCAATGGGCATATTGAAAAGAATTAATTAATACTAAAAATCAACTGAAAATAATATTTATTTTGTGTATTACTGTGCTTCTATTTCTTTGATGTTCTTCTGATTTCCTGAAGCAACATCTTACCTCGCATTTTGCAGATTTCTGTGAAACCACTCGTTGCAACGAACCATTGTATTTATCTCTATTTATTGCTTTTAATCAAGGCTGTTAATCTAAGGTCCTGTTAACACTGAATTTGTTTATTTTCCATTTTTAAAAAGTGCCGCTTGAACTTAAAGGGCATACAGATATGGAACTATTTTTGTGCAAGTTTAGGAAGTTCATTAAAATATAAGAAATGCAGGTGTTGGTTCGTGTAATTTGCCTACTTGTTATAAGGGGAGCAGGTGGCTTTTACCTTTTACCTACTTCATAGATCTTGCGCAGTCAGTTAGCAAAATGGGGACAGACAACTGTCAACTGTGACAAAAGTGATGAAAGACAGTCATTTTACAAGATATCCTACAGGAAACTTTTGCCCATACTAATATCAAGAGACTTTGTTATAAAATTCTGGGCCTTTACCACAACCTCCCTCCCTAAATGACAGGGCATTTTATTTGGGGTATGTATATGTTTCTACACAGTATTTATTTTTTATAATATTACAGATACATTGCTCGGTATGAAACCAATCCCTGAAAAATCACTTGATGGAGTTGGAGGCAGAATTTTAATTTGAGCCTGCCAGTTACATTCCTAACCACCGTGCCTTCGAGGAAAGCTTGCTATCTCTTCTGCCTGGAACTTTTAGTGGCTATGGGATGGCTGCTAGTAACACAGTTTACCGGGCTTTAGATTTGATGCTTACACTGTGGTTTGCACGATGGGTGGAAATGCTGTCCAGTTGCGATGATTTGCACAGAAATTGTCAATACCGGTGGTTTCCATTGTGTAATATGTGGGTGTGGTGACTGCTGGCTCAGTGTAATAAGAATGTAGCATGCACAGGTGGGCTTGCCCCACTTGGGGTGCAGCAAACCATGCTGCAGTACAGTGGTCATCTTGCCCAGATCACACAATCATTCCACAGCTACTTCTTGTTCCCACAATAATCCTATTATTTATTTTTTGCATTGCCCTACAAGGCACATTCTCTCACAAGGCAGTTTCCACATATCATACCTACCCTGCTTTACAAACAGGGTCCTAGAGCTGAGAGTGCTACTTGTCCAAGTCCACATTAGAAATGGATTGTGAAGCCAGAACTCCCAAAGGAAAGCCACCAGTCCACATGTTGATTCCACCACAGTTACAGTAAGTTCCACACTTTCTAATAACAAAAAAGAGGTGCTGGTACTGCACCCCCTCGAGTACCCCCTGAGAAAAAGCACTGTCTGCACCCTTGTGAGACATCTTGGGAAGAAAAAAAACAAAGGAGTAAACCCTATACAAATCCAGAGTGGATTCCCTAAGACGGTTGGACGGTTGGTGTCTTGTACACTTCCTTCCGGGGGACGCGGGTGGCGCTGTGGGTAAAAGCCTCAGCGCCTAGGGCTTGCCGATCGAAAGGTCGGCGGTTCGAATCCCCACGGCGGGGTGCGCTCCCGTTGCTCGGTCCCAGCGCCTGCCAACCTAGCAGTTCGAAAGCACCCCCGGGTGCAAGTAGATAAATAGGGACCGCTTACTAGCGGGAAGGTAAACGGCGTTCCGTGTGCTGCGCTGGCTCGCCAGATGCAGCTTGTCACGCTGGCCACGTGACCCGGAAGTGTCTCCGGACAGCGCTGGCTCCCGGCCTATAGAGTGAGATGAGCGCACAACCCTAGAGTCTGTCAAGACTGGCCCGTACGGGCAGGGGTACCTTTACCTTTTTACCTTTACACTTCCTTCCAGCAACTCCTGTAGTCAAACTGGTGCTAAATGTATTGCTCTGCTTTCCTTTGGACCATGCAAGGCCGAGAGCAGGGTCTTGTTGCCTCGGTGGTGGGAATGCAACTGTGATGGCCTGGGAATCTGATTCAGAATCTGAACCTGAGGAGTCCCAGCCTGCACAGGAGTCCCCGCCTCCAGGGCCGGCTGAGCTGGGGCAGGGGCTTGAATCTGAAGGGCCCTCACCTGTGCCGGATCCTCAGGAGCAGACACCAGCTGAATCCGTTCTGGCTCCGGAGGTGATCGAGGACCCATTGCCTGCAGGTGCTCCTCTCCCAGCTCTGTCAGGGGAAGGTGAGGTTGCCTCTGGGTCCAGTAACCCTCCAGCCTCTCCTGAGCTGCAGAGGCTCAGGGCAGAGAGGCGGAGGGAACTAAGTTCTCTCAGGAGGAGTGCTCGCCTTAAGGCCAGGAGAGGCGAGGCACCTGTGGACCAGGGCCGCCCTATGCCTCGGAGAAGATAAAGGCCAGCCCGCCCAGTCCCAGGTTGCGGGAGTAACGTCGTTGGAAACCTGTTCCTGCCGGCACCCTGACCTGCTTTCCTGAGTTCCTGACCACGCCCAACTCCTGTCTTTGGACCTCACTTCACCCCTGACGGACAGCCTCCTTACCCTCGACCTAGGACTGGACTTAGACCACGCCGCATGGTAAACGCCCCCCCCAGGACCAGCACAGCAACAAAAACAATGCAGGAGACAGCAGTTACGATTGACCTGTCTCTGCAGCCACAGCAGGCGCTGTGATTCTCTAGTGGTTTGACTTCACCTTTGGAGGCACCCTCCATTGTCGCTTGAGACAGACGGATGCCAACATCAACAGGAGAACATCATAAGTTACTTTTCAGGAAGCTCCCAGACATTGCCATATAAACTTTTGCATGCTAACTTAGAAGTAAATCCCACACGCCATAACAGCAACCCTATATAACCCTATATAAGCAGAATTTGAAACCAGGGATTCCTATTTTGATTTATTGTATTTTAATTCTTAAAAAACGCTGAAGCTAAAACAGAATTGTGTGCAATTTACTACTGCACAATGAAGCACATGAACTAACAGGAGATATTAATGCTTAAAAGTAGGTCTAATTCATGCCCCCTCTCGCCAGTATGGAAAAAGCAGTTTCAGGGATGGTGAAAACCACCTCAGCAAATACTACCAGCCTGGCATTAAGAAGGCTTCGGGTATCCCTGGCAAGCAACAAAATGTGTAGTCGTAAGGAGCAGCCTTTGCCACTCCAGAAAGCTTCTTTGCAAGCATCTCAGGTGGAGTGCATGAGTTGCCTTTCAAAACTGAACAAGACATAAATCAGGGGCTCTCTTTTGAAAGATGGTAGGGAAGAAGAATGCAGTGCTCTGTATGGGAGCCGTAATTGCGCAGTTATGTGTATGCAAGCAAAGGTTGCCATATGTGAGCTTTGATAGTGCCAGGAAAAACAAACAGAAAATAACTGAATTTTCTTTACTCAATAACGCCTTGATTGGCGGATAGGCATTGGGTAAGCCTAGTCTTGGTTGGAGGGGACGTTGTAGCCTCCATTTGCCCTTCTCGGGCGAGCAGCTTTGCAGGTGGGTGCCAGGCCTCCACTGTGAAGCAGCTTATTGCAGGCCGGATTGTCCTGCTGCCGCCGAATTGGACTTTATTAATGAAAGTAGGAAGGAAAAACAAAGTATTATCAGTCTGTATTACAAACAAATCCCAAAGTGACCAAGTCACTGGGGAAAATTGAAACCTCTGATGGACAGATATAGAGACAAGGGGAGCTTGCTGCTGGGTACCACACCGTCACTGGAGGCTTGGGTCATTTTGGTGGCCAGGAGTATCTTTTCCCCACTACCTGCCCAAGTCCACATTAGACGTGCTGCAGTCATAAGCACAGTAACATGGAGACACGCCCTGTTGACTTACTTTTGAGTAAGCATGCTTAGGATTGGTTAAAACATTCAATACATTGTATGTGACATTTCAAAGTATAAGTATAATTTATTTGGGCCCAAAAAAAGAGTGTTGCCTGCTTCACACATTAGGTGTGCACACCTAAGATTTTTAAAGATGCATCTAGAAATAAAAAAATGTGTTTACAAACAAATATATTATACAAAGGTGCTCAGAAGGAAAGTGTGATTAGAATGGTGGGAAAGCGGCCAAGACTTTTGTACCTTTAATAGGTGTGTAGAAGAGGGGAAGTTCAGCATGTAAGGTACACCTGTTGGAATACCCTCTTCTACATTCCTATCAAAAGCACAAGAGTGCTATCCTTTTCCTCACCTGCCCCTTCTACTTGGATTTGCTGCACCTGCCTGTACAGTGTGTTGATTGCTCAGTGGCAAATATGTGTCTCTGCTTAGTGTGTGAAGTGGCCCAAGCAGGAAGATTGTAAATGGATTTGGATTTGATATCCCGCCTTTCATTCCCCTTCAGGAGTCTCAAAGCGGCTCACATTCTCCTTTCCCTTCCTCCCCCACAACAAACCCTCTGTGAGGTGAGTGGGGCTGAGAGACTTCAGAGAAGTGTGACTGGCCCAAGGTCACCCAGCAGCTGCAGGTGGAGGAGCGGAGACGCGAACCCGGTTCCCCAGATTACGAGACTACAACTCTTAACCACTACACCACACTGGCTTTCTTTGTGCATCTGAATGGGTGTATGACTCTGAACAGTGAGGTAGCCAAGTTTAAATGGACAAAAAGGGAGGGGGCTCTCAAAGCAGAAAGTGGCAAAAAGGCCCCCAAACTTTTAATACGGCCCTGCACAAAGGGATCTGGAATGAATGTAGGACTGACAAAGGTTAGTTTAAGAGCACAGCTTTCTTCTTGAAAGTTATGAATGCTCCAGAAGAATAACAGGAAAGTCACTTTAAGATACTAGCGTCTACATTTACTGCAAATGAGTGGATGTGAATATGCCAAACTACCTTCAACAGTTTAAGGTTTAGCTGGGTGTATGAACCCCACATCGATCCTTTCCTAAAAGAGCTGCTCTATTGTTGCTTCATAGACTTTATGTAAGGCATAATATCTATTAATAAATAGCCTGGCGGCTTGCTTATCACAAATAACTCTGCGGGCTGGAAGGCTCCTCCCGCATTAGAATCTGCTGTCCTGAGGGTGTTGAGGGGGGTGTAAGAATTCCACCACTCAGCTTTTCCCGCTTGCAAGGGCTGGCAGATTTGCGAGGGCTGCTACAGCAGAAGTGTCTGGATCTGTGGGGCCCTTCCTGACTGCAAATCCAATATTCCCCGTGTTCATAATGCCTGAGCAGACAGTGTATTGAACTTCACAGGGAAAGTTAGTGCCTCAGCACATTTCTGCACATTGTTTAATCAAGCACCAATTAAGAAGAAGTCTGCCAAAAAGGATGCTCTTTCACAGTCTGTTTGTTAACACTCTACAGACTCTTGTTCCTCAGCATATGGAAAGTCATTTATTCCCAAAGAAATGTGGCGATGGGAAATAAATTCTGCACTGAGCTTTTGGGAAGCTGGCTGTTGTGCTGCACCATGCAAATTTTTAAACTGCATGTTTACAAGTGTGAATTTGTTTTCTAAAATAGTGAAATCAGTCACTCTTAGGAGCAATAGGCTTAGTGCACACATGAACACAGCACAGACAGTAAACCTTTACAGGAAAAATATATTAAATTAAAACAGACCTTAAGCTGGAAACTTGTTTACAAAATTAGTTTTCTTTCATCTCTTTGGAGAGCAAGTGGCCCAAATCAGTGGTGGCAACAACTTTCCTGCAGCCTTTGAATCAACCCTACCCTCTGGAATCAAGCATTGCTAGAGAACTGGTACTCGGAAACATCAAAAGAGGCACGTGGGCACCTGCCCCATTTTATGGCTGAAGGCAAATGAAAGCGTGTTAAGACGCTGCACTGTCAATGTTGGTGTCATAGTACAACCATAGTGCCACAGGGCTGAGATGGGCAACTTCAGAATTCCTCAGAAGCCTCTGTGTCCAAATCTGAAACCCAAAAGTGCTCAGCCATGGCTGAGGGATGGTAAACGAAAACCCAAGAAGAGAGATAATATTCAAGTGTGGAATATCTACCACTCAACCTCTTTGTAAAATGTTCTTTTCTTAAAAATGAAACAGTGGGACATCCCCATCCCCACTCCAAAACTTTACTTAAATGCCTCTTAAATTTCTTGGTGGACTAGAGTTATACTATCTGCCTCCAGATAATGCTATCCCTTCCTTGTCTGTATCACTTTATGTCAAGGGATTCTAAATACTTTCCACTCTGGCACTTATACAGCAGCACTAGCTCAAACCTTTGTAAACTGCTCCTGCGATGCATCTGGTGGATGCTAATTATAGGGCCACCTACCAAAGCAATGTTCTGAACAATAAGATTGGAGCATTACTCATCTTTCCTTTAGGATGTCAGTTATTATGTTAAAAGATGGTGAGGTGTTTTAAATAAGAAGAAACAATCTGGAACCAAGTTTTTTATGTAGGGCTTATCGACACCAGAGTTTACTGTGGGTTTCAAGATGATTGTGTTCCCATTTAATTTTTGTAGTCCACATGATGCTACACCAAAAAACCCACTAGTATCTACGTTCCCCCTCCCCTGTAAATTTGGGTTTACCTGATATGGGGCTAATCCACTCAATTGGGTAGAAATGGACTCCAAATTAGTCCAATGTTTTGGGGTGGATGGATCAACAGTCACTTTCTTCTATTCCTCTTTCCATGCCCACTCCTTCCTCCCTGCTTCCCTCAGTGCATGTATATTTTCTTCCTGGCATGCTCCTGAACAGAAGAGAGAGAGAGAGAGAGAAGATTCCTCAGATTTGCATAAAACCAGTAAACTGCAGAAGCAAACCAGATTAAAAAAAATATCCACCAGATATTGCACAGGAATCTGAAAAGTGTATGCTGAGAATTTATTTATTTTTTCCAAATTATTTTTATTAGTTTTCCAAATTATTACAAATCAAACCAAATTACTTTAATTTAATACAATTTCTTTTTAAAAAATCAGGTTTCCCGCTCCTGTTGCAAACATATGTCCATCATTTCAAACAATTGTGACCCATGAGGGGGGCGGGGCTTCTGAGTCAAGCACCTCTGGTTTGGCATCAGTGCCAGATGGGTGTCCTCAAGGCCGAGTTTCTGGGCTTCCTCACTGATGCTGACGGCAACCGCCCATCTCCATCCAAGGTAGCCAGCATCTAGAACGCTCCACCATCACATTCTAAGCAGGAGCTGCAGGCATTTTGGGGACCCTTGAACTTTTATCATTCCATCCTGCCGCACAAACTGTTGTGGAGCCCCTGCACCAGCTCATGGACAAGAAGTCCCCTTGGGTCTGGGGCCACATGCACAGCGACACCTTCTCTGCTGCAAAGGGCCTCCTTTCCTCAGACAGTGTGCTCGCCCACTTCAGTGAGTCCCTGCTTGTGGTACACACCTGTGATGCTTCCCCATATGGCTTCAGCGCTGTGCTCAGCAACTGCTCGCTGGCCAGCCAGGAGGCTTTGGTTGCCTATTGCTTGTGGACCTTGTCGGCAGCTGAGTGGAACTGTGCCCAAATTGACAAGGAGGTTGTGGCGGTTGTGGCTGGAGTAAAGAAGTTTCACTGCTATGTACTGAGCTGAATCCTAGAACAATAGGATCCAGAATGCAGCAGTCTGATTGGTTCGCAGGAGCCACCCAATCCAGCTCCAGGTGGAAGTGAATCAGCGACCTGATTGGCCTGCAGGAGCAGCCAATCAGGCTCCTGAGGAAGTGAATCTGCAACCTGATTGGCCTACAGGAGCAGCCTGGAATTAGCCAATCACAAGGGGCCCATTGTGTAAATAATGTATATATAGCTAGACGTTTTGGGGAAAGTTTCATTCATTGCTACCACAAGCTGAATAAAGAGCATGAAATCCACACTTGACTCCGAGTATATTTCATTCATGATTACCTCTATGGCCACCACTTCACAATATTCACAGATCACAAGCCACTGCTGGGCCTCTTTGCACCAGACCCTACAGATCTTGTCCCCCCGCATGCTCTGGTAGTTCATCTTCATGGCCCCCTATGACTACTTGCTGCAGCACCGCCCCAGCAAGTCCATTGGCCACACACAGCTGAACCTTGGCCTTGGGTCATGCTTGAACCCACCTACATTTCAACACCCATGTTCATTAGGCTCCACCAACCATAGCAAAACCTTGCTGTCCCACCAGGTGCCACCCTTTCGTGGTTCCTCCATCTCACCAGGCTCTGCTTCCTATAACTAGAACATGGTATTGTTAAATCTGTTTTTAATATGACTATGCAAATTTTATCACTGTACTTTTTTTTTTTTTTTTTACTACGTTGTGAATCGCTTTTGGACTTTTTAGTGGGAAGTGTTTTACTAAACCTAATTTCTATACTAGAGCCTATACAGTGGTACCTCAGGTTACGTACGCTTCAGGCTACATATGCTTCAGGTTACAGACTCCGCTAACCCAGAAATAGTGCTTCAGGTTAAGAACAGTTTCAGGTTAAGAACGGACCTCTGGAATGAATTAAGTACTTAACCCGAGGTACCACTGTGCAGAATAATTGATAGAGATCCACATACAGGAAATATTCTTTTGTGTTTGAGCTCTGCCCCAATCTGTTCATTCCTTCCACATCTTTACTGAGGTCTGCTCTGGGTGGCGGCAATCACCCCCAAAATCTCACCCACCATCAGTGGCATTTAGATCAGCCCTTGTCTTTCACTTCCAATAGATGATTATCTGAGCCAGAGATACATTATCACTCCTTTGTCATTTTACAATTACCTGATTGTTACCTGACATTGTTCAAAAATATAATAATCACCTCAAGTGTTGCTATGACTACATACTAAATGAATGTTCTGGGGTGCTCAGAGCGAGGACTTTTGTTGGAATGGCGCTGCCTAAAGAAAAGTTGCTAAAGAAATAACTAGCAACTTTCAGACAGGGTTGCCCAGTCTGAGTATGACCTGGAGTTTTCAATATTTTTCCACTTCCCGCAGTGTCTTCAAGGGAAGTGCATGACCCTTTTTCTCCACCAGGCCATACTCATTCCACCTCACTAGACTCCCTTCTCTAACCAACAGTGACCAGTCCTTAACAGCCAGGGCTATGTGGAGAAGGGAAAATGGGAGGATACTAGCTGCAAAAAATTAAAAATGAAGAGATTTCAGAAATAAACAGATGATGTAGCCCAAACTTTTCCAACCTGGTGCCCTCCTGATATTTTGGACTGCAGCCCCATAATTACCAATAATTGGCCATGCTTTCTAGGAGTGATAACGCTGTGGTTCAAAGCATCTGGAGGACAGCAGGTTGAGGAAGGTTGAGGTAGCCCAGTGCAGGCGCTTGCCACAAGCATTATACTTGTCTGAAATGCCGAAATTGACAAACAAAATTATTGTAGAAAAGATGAAGAAAAGCAGCCTCCTAAAGTAGGGAAATAAAATCATGTTGTTCAGTAAAATCTGTGGGTGTTATAATTGTGCAAACTCAAACTACAACACACTTCCTTCTTTAATAACAGCTCAGTGTTGTGTTTGTTCAGCTTGTCTATTACCAAAGAAGAAATTAATGATATTATTATGGTCCAAAAACATTCCCTGAGAGGGTCCAGCTTATTATTATTATTATATTATATTATATTATATTATATTATATTATATATATTATATTATATTATATTATATTATATTATATTATAATTAGTTTTCCTTTGTACGTTTCTCAAAAGCTCTTGTAATTTGACCAAGGTATGATTTCCTACAAGGGCATTTGATAGCATATACTGTTCCAATAAGTGCTACAGCTACATAGGGTGTATTTTGGGGGCTTGTATGTCCTTTGATCCACAGAAACAGAAAATGAGTTTTCTTAATTGCATACTTCTGATATATGCAGTGACCAGACTGGCACTATCCTTTCCACAGTCGAAAGTGCAGTGTTCTCAACACTGATGTTCTCTTGTGCTCTCAGTCAGACTGAGTTTGCCCAAACCTAAGACTGTAAGTGACCCTTATTCAAACCTTGTGCGTCTTTGGCTGGACTTTATTTATAGTGTAACTTAAAGACATGTCTAGGTCTTGTCATATCTTAAAGACAAACAGATTTATTATGGTAAAAGCTTTTGTGGATTAGAGTCCACTTCATAAGCTATATGAAGAGTTACTATTTTCTTACGCAAATGGTTGCCATATGTCCTCTTTTTCCAGGACAAGTCTTCTTTTTCATGATGACAGTTGCCATAGAGATCCATAGTTAAAAGTAGAAGTCGGCAAATGTGTCTTCTATTTTGCTCTTCAAAACATGGCAACCTTAGTTCTTTATGATAACACAGACATTTTAACATTGGTAAGTGGGAAGGAGACCCCATTATCTACATTTAGGCCTCTGGGAGTAGGACTGAACTTCTTAGCCCTCGTTATACATTATTCAAGTGAAGGCATAACAGGTACATAGGGCTGCACCCCTGTCCCCAGTGATGTGCAGCTGGCCCTGATGCTGCTATTCACACACTAGGGCGAACATCTTAATTGAGGAAGCCTGTGTGTATTTTTACCCAAGTCCTGGAACCTAGAACAACCAAGGAAGTCCACAGAAGGAGACTTTTGCACCTCAAGCATCCACACTAATGTCAGGCAATTTCTACCTGAATTGCCCATTCACACGAATAACATGTGGCGGGAGCTGTTTGACGTTCCTTTTTTCTAAGAACTGTCACTTTAAGGACAGTTGCATAGTGGTGGGTTGAAATGTTCTCCCACTGGTTTCTGAAAACTGCTTTTTCCAGTATTGGAGTCCTATCCCTTTATCCTGTTGCCTAAATCAGTGGTTTTCAACATTTTTGAGTCCACGGCTCTCTTGACTGTTATGTTGTGGGTGAACATATCAGACGACACAGCAATTCTTCAAACAGCTCTTGTTTATTCACAGGCCAGAACAGAACTGAACTGAAGGGTTCAGCCAGCCTGCTTATATAGAGCTCCACAACAACACAACTGTAACACTTTCTGTAACTATCCAATCACTGAATGTCACTTCCAATCCCTTATTTGCATATGTGGACCTGAGTGAAAACTATCTACAGTCTCCCCATGCTGGCCCAGGGTGAGAACTTCCGTATATAACATTGACCATCCACATTTTTCTGCAGCTCCCCTGTGGAAGCCACTTACACTGAGGTTCTGTTACAGGACACGCATAAGTGGGGATTTTCCCATTCCGCCCCACCACTTTTCAGTGCTATTTTTGGCACGTGTTTAAGTGGGAATGCATGTGGGAAGCCAAGCAACATCACTGCTCTGCAGGGCCGGACTGACACTCTCCATATGGGAGACCCAGCCAGCCTTTCCTGAAATTAGTGTGCGCATGGTGGGCGAGGCAGGAGGGAAAAAACAAGGTTAAGATCAGAAGCAGAAATATTTTGTTATTGCGAGGAAGGAAAGCTTTTTCACATCATTGGATCACATCATTTGGATGGGTAGTCTGAGAAATTAGTGACATAAAACCTTAGGTTGCAAGTCTAAGAATAAGTCAGAAAATAAGCAGTTGAATCAAGAGCTTGGTCTGGGCCTAACTGAGCAAGGCACTTCCTATGTTCTTGCCAAACCAGACACGATGTGGAGATACGAGAATAAGGTATAACAAGTTTAAAAAGTAATAGCAGGTGCAAAGGCTCCATTTGGATTTGGGTTGTATTTCTGGAGGAAGAGTGGTTAACCTGTTCCCCTCCTGCCATCATCCTGAGACAAATCCTTTCCCAAGCCA